AAGTAGTACATATATACATATGAATATATATATATATATATATATATATATATATATATATATATATATATATATATGCATATACATATATATATATGTATATACTTGTATGTGTGTGTATATATGTATATATATCATCATCATCATAAGGGGGCATACGCATGGCTGCGCTTTGCCGCGTCCAACCTTTGCCTCCACCTCCTGGGGTCCCTCCGAGAGAGCCTCCATGCAGCATTCCTTCCCATACCCAGTACATCTTGGCAGATCTGATCGACTTGCTTCAGCCATGAGTTCCGTGACCTTCCCCTTGGTCTTCTCCAGCCTGGGTCAACCCTCTCGGAGATGACCCTATGAGCCGGATCTTCCTTAGGGAAACGAGCCACATGTCCATAGAGCTGAAGTTGGCGCTCTCGTATCAAACTGGTAATAGGTCTTGAATCAGTCTTATGGAGTATCCTCTGTTTGGACACATGGTCCCTCCAGGTATACCCCATGATTCTGCGAAGACACTTAGTACCGAAGGAGTTAAGGCGGGCTTTCGGAGCACTGTTCAGGTCTCACACCCATAGAGTAAGACCGGGATCACCAGTGCTCTGAAGAGCCTGATCTTAGTTCTCCTAGTCAAATACCGACAGCGCCAAATACTTCTATTGAGTGAGTCCATAACGCCGTAGGCCAGTCCGGGTCGTCGAGTGACTTCCCGGTCGGAACCTCCGTCGCTCTGCACTACACTACCAAGATAGGTGAAGCTATCCAAGACCTCAATGTTCTCGCCACAGGCATGCACAGACTGAACATCGACATCCAAAAAGTCCCCAAATTCCTGAACCTTGGTCTTGGTCCAGTTGACCGCGAGTCCCAACGGCTTCGCCTCCTCCTGAAGTGCCTCGAGAGCTACTTCCAGGACCTCTAATGTCAAGGTCTGTGACCTTGAAATTACCAGTTGATGCCCCACAGGAACTACGGTTCAGGGCACGGCCAAGTATCCAGTCCATACAAGTGTTGAAAAGGGTTGGGGCCAGGACACATCCCTGTCTCACCCCGGCAGACAGCGGGAAGAAGGCAGAGATGCCCTCCCCACACTTGACAGCACTCTCAGTATCTGTATACAGGCCAGACAGCAAACCAATAATTCCAGGGGGGATCCCACGGAGACCCAGTAGGCTCCAGAGACTCTCCCGGTGCACTGAGTCGAAAGCCTTCTTGAGATCAACATAAGCTGCAAGCATACCCTGTTGAAACTCAAGTCGGCGTTCCACAAGGACACGAAGGACTTTTTGGATGTAAAACCTGTGCTCGTAATAGGTGGTCGCGCACTCGTGCCAGAAGAAGATGAGCGAGGACCTTGCCTGGTACGCTGAGCAATGTAACACCTCTGTAGTTGCCACAGTCCTATATATATATGTGTGTGTGTGTGTGTGTGTATTCATATATGTTAAATATATATCAATATCAATATATTGTTATTGTTATTATTGTTATTAGTTGTAGTAGTAGTATTACTATTGTTATTGTTATTTTTTTGTTATTATTATCATTATTATTATCATTATCGTTTTCATTATCACTATTATTATCATTGATATTACTATTATTGCTTTATTATCATCATTATTATTATCATTACTATTACTAATATCATTTTTATTTCCTGTTCCCACCGCTAACTCACTGCGAACACTTAATTCATCTGACAAATCAAGACGATGGTTTTGCGCGGATAGAGTGGTTTTGGTCTTTTTTTTTTTTTTTTTTTTTTTTTTTTTTTTTTTTTTTTTTTGGTGTGTGTGTGTGTGTGTGTGTGTGTGCGCGCGCGCGCGCGCGTATGTGTGCATACATACATATATACATATATATAAATATACACACACACACATATATATGTGTGTGTGTGTGTGTGTGTGTGTGTATGCATATATACAAACATACATATATGTATACATACATATATATATATACATGTATATATATATGCATATTGTAAGCGTAAGTGACCACGCAAGCCACTAGATGTAAGCGTAACAGAGATGGTCTTGGGGCGGTCAATGAAAGGGGTCTTAACTTGCTGGTTTATTTCTGAAGATAGATATGAGACCCCCAAGAGACCCCCGTGTCCCCGGGTGGAGGACGAGGTGGTGGAGCTGGACCCTGTGTCGCTTGGCCTGTCTGCCGTGTCTCCTTCTCTGTCCCCCCTGTGTCTTAGGCACGTGCCCTTTTATGCGGAGGTTTCCTTGGAGGGCGGATGTTTATTCCTGTGTGAAAAGAGAAAGGAGGGCAGCACCTGCATCCTCCGCAAGGAGAAAGGGATTTGCTTGGACTGAGGTGTGAATCTGCCATCCGGTCTTGCTACGTATTGTTCACATCGCTCGGCCGCGCGAAAGGCTCGTCCTCGAGCCGTCTGCAACGCTGGAACACTGCAGTAGCAGATAGGGATACAGGTTCTGTTCGGTATCTACAGATGGTTCCTGGTGATCCGATGGTCGCTTGGGTCGTCGCGTGCCAAGGTAGCGGGTGCGGCGGAGGTTTCGCACTGAGGTGCAACATTCAGTAGCGAGGAGGGTCAATCATCTTCAGAAGCTGAAATATAAGTGTACCAGGCCAGTAAAAGGGCTAAGGAGGAGGATAATAATGTGTTTGTCAATCACCTTACTAAGTTGCAAGGAAAAAATGAGGGCATAATAAGAATAATTTGTTACGAGAAGGGTAATGTGCCAAGTAAGTGGGTGTTAATTACATGGATTTGTTAGGACTAGCGAGTTCTGTAGAGTACCATCATACCGAAGAGAGAAAAAGTAATTGGACAAGAATTCCATATCTTTGGGCTAAATAGGCAAGTATATATGCTTCGAACATATAGGCAGCTGGGCCTGAACTTAATTCTAACAGTGCGCGTCTCGGCGCTTCAATCTTATGAGCGTAAGTGTGCGGCGGGCGCAGGATTCCTTCGTTTACGGCCATGAGCCGGGCGTGCGCGTCTGGGGCGCTTTAATCGTATGAGAGTAAAAAACATCGCAGTGCGGCGGGCGCAGGATTCATTCGTTTACGGCCTTGAGCCGGGCGTGCGCGTTTCGGGCGCTTCAATCGTATGAGCGTAAGTAATATCTCGGTGCGGCGGCGCAGGATTCATTCGTTTACGGCCTTGAGCCGGGCGTGCGCGTCTGGGCGCTTCAATCGTATGAGCGGAAGTAACATCTCGGTGCGGCGGGCGCAGGATTCTTTCGTTACGGCCATGAGCCGGGCTTAAAATTAACTTGCGGTGATAATAATTATGTAAGCCTATATGAAGTATGGTGTCCTGTAATGCGTTATCATCGTTATGATCATTTGCAATAGACTACCTACCATCAGTCAGATACAAGTTACATATTCACCAATTCCTTAAACTAAAGAAGCATAAATTCTAGCATAGATGAGGATAAGATATCGAACTTCGAGAGGGCGTCATGAAAGCGGTTTGGGTTCAGTTAAAAGTCTTAGGGATGGCACTTAAAATAATACATAATCCTAGAGTGAAATCCGTGTAGGGTGGGCAGGTAGGTGGGTTTGGGCCTAAGGCAGGTAATCGACATGTATCTTAAACCTATGTGTGAAAAAGCGAACGATTAGCGTGGGAAGTATATGAAAATACAGGTGTTGTGAAAGACAGAACGATATACGCACATTCATAGAGGAAGTAGTAACGAATTACTTACTAATAGGGTACAGTATGCAGGTGAAAACAATAATATCACAACGAAAATCGTAGCAGTAAATATGAATAACATAACGGGGGAAATCGAACATATCTACACATACTTATTTGTTCAAAGAGAAAATAAAATATAATGAACTGCAATGTGAAGACAATAATAATAAACATTAGATAAAACACAGAATAGCAGAAAAATATCATAGCAATTAAAGTATGGTTAGGGAAGGGGATTGAGGTGTGAGGTGTGGGTGGGTGTCACTTAGGTTTGATCTCTGTGTGTGACTTCGTTTGTTGTGTTGAAAAAAACAATGGTTGACAGCGAGAAGTTATGTATTATATAGTTAGTAGTTTGTGTTCGTTGAGTGGCATGTACTTGAACTTGAAAGAAGGCAACTTGTATGTAAGGTGTGGGTGGGTATAGGGAGGGCAATAGTTAATCTGGCACTAATAGGCACACTTACTTTTAATAGTAGCTAGGAAGTATTGGTGGTGCTGAGTAGAATGGCGGCTCCATGGTTGTGCTGACGAAGGTTCGTGAAGACGTGGCGAGGTAGATGAGCCGGATTTGTGGCGGCGTAGAGTGCGGGAACATATCGTCAGCGACTTCGTCAGGAGGGTAGCAAAGACGTGAGTAGTCAGCACGAAGTAGTAGGGTAGACATGGTGCGAAGAAGACTTGGTAGTGATGGCTGGGCGTTAAAGTAGGCGAGGAGGCACTTCGACAGTAGTACCTTGTAGGCAGATAGCATGGATCGGCGTCGGCGAGGAGGTAAACGTAAGGCGTTCTGAGGTTCTTGATCACCGCTGCCATCAGATGTAAGCGTAAGTGACCACCGCTGCCATCAGATGTAAGCGTAAGTGACCACCGCTGCCATCAGATGTAAGCGTAAGTGACCACCGCTGCCATCAGATGTAAGCGTAAGTGACCACGCAAGCCACTAGATGTAAGCGTAACAGAGATGGTCTTGGGGCGGTCAATGAAAGGGGTCTTAACTTGCTGGTTTATTTCTGAAGATAGATATGAGACCCCCAAGAGACCCCCGTGTCCCCGGGTGGAGGACGAGGTGGTGGAGCTGGACCCTGTGTCGCTTGGCCTGTCTGCCGTGTCTCCTTCTCTGTCCCCCCTGTGTCTTAGGCACGTGCCCTTTTATGCGGCGGTTTCCTTGGAGGGCGGATGTTTATTCCTGTGTGAAAAGAGAAAGGAGGGCAGCACCTGCATCCTGCGCAAGGAGAAAGGGATTTGCTTGGACTGAGGTGTGAATCTGCCATCCGGTCTTGCTACGTATTGTTCACACATATATACATATATATACTTATATAAACATAAACATTATCATATATATGTGTGTGTGTGTGTAGATATATATATATATATATATATATATATATATATATATATATATATATATATATATATGTATATATATGTGTATATATATATATATATATATTATAAACAGTATATGTATACATGTATGTGTGTATATATAGGTATGAATGTGTGTATAATATGTATATATAGGTATGAATGTGTGTATAATATGTATATATAAATATATTGATATTAATATATATTTAACGTATATGAATATATATACATATATACACATAAATATATATATACATATATACACACACATATACATGTATACACATATACACATATGTATAAACATATGTATATATATGCATATGTATATATATGCATATGTATATATATGCATATGTATATATATGCATATATATATATATATATATATATATATATATATATATATATATATACATATATATATATATATATATATATATATATATATATATATATATATATATATATATATAGCAAACTCTTGTACCTTGTTTAATTCATTGTAATGGCGTTTTTGTTAACTAGAGTGCCAATAGCTGAAAGTATGGGTTAAAGAGGGCAGTCTGTTTCGGGAGTTGACTAGTTGTCTTTAAATTTTCTCAGCATTTTATGAAGTTGATCTACCTTTCTGTTAATAAGAGAAGTGCAGTCACCTTCAGTTTCACACTAACTGTGACTGAGTACTGGCTTCTGCACACTGGGGTCAAAGTCATTGCCACCCCACCGCATTATCCCGTGGGATTCAATGCATGTTATTCTGCTGCAAGCCTGGTACAGCTGTTTTAGTTTACCACAGTCTTAAGCTAAATCTGCAATCATAGTTTTAATCAAGAAAGTACTGCTGTTTCCTCCATTCCCTTGGAAATATGAGGTGCTCGCTTGTAAGGATATTTCAGATCGAAGGATATTCATATTTTTTTTACATTCCTTTGTTCTTTCTTACGACACTTGAAATATTGTTTGTTCTCCTTATAACGCTGGTATTAGAAATTATATATTGATATGTGCAATAAATAATTTTTCATTAAATTATAAGTTGTCTGCTTGTAACGATATATAGTATTTGGATATTACAGGCAGATAGGTGTTTATATGCACACGTATCTTTGAGTGTGTTTCTTCGTGTTCCAGATGAGCATTTCGTAATATATGTTAATGCTTGTATTTGCTGCCAGCGTATTCAGTCTCAATCCAATCCCAGTGTGAGTGTAGTTGTAAGGAAATAAAATGGATGTTTATTTTTATTTTACGTGGGAATATAACAAGTGTACGTTATACTGAGAATAAATATCTAAGAATTACTAACTTAACAAAATACTGTTTGCTGAATTTCATTGTTTCCAGCTCGTCGTGTGTAAAACATCAATTACTTGTTACCCACGCTCAGTTCGCTGGGATATCAATAATGTAACTGCTTAAGAGAGCTTTATTTTCCTTTCGTCATAGCCAGAAGGTAAAGCATTTTCTCGCTCTTGGTTAGCCAGACTATTCTAACGAACAGCCATAGGGCTAGATAAAATCACATTCTTTTGATAGGTCTTTAAAATATGTCGCCATGTCTATGTCCTTTCTCTCTCTCTCTCTTAGTATGAGTGCAAACCAAGAATTTACATTTTCGTCTAATTCCAGCATCATTTACCAATACGAATAAATATACCGGTGATCAAATGCACGTAAGGGTCGTACCTTGGGAGTTTGAAACTGTTTGATTAAAGAAATTAGTATATTATTGGATTGGTCATCAATTTCCCGTTTTTTCTTAAATTGCTATA